AAAAAAAAAAAAAAAAAAAAAAAAAAAAAAAAAAAAAAAAAAACGGTGAAAATACAAGCCAGTCCTGAAGTCACATGTCCGCCAGAGGAGTCCTTATCTGTGCCCCAGAACTGGATCGTTACATATAAAGATGAACTTTTTCCTGGCTGGCCCCACGCAAACCCCCCGCCTGTCTGTCGCGTTAGAGACAATTTTAGATACTGTGGGAAGAGGGGGTCTCCTCTGAGGTCTGCTGGTTGCCGGTTGCCCACGCCTTGCTGTGCCTTTTAAACCTTTTGTGATCTTCTCCTCGCCAGACCGCACCTTTGAAGGAGAGCCATTGAACTTTGTCCTGGGGGCCTCGAGCTGAACAGTAAAAAGCTGAGTGTTTTTGTGTGAACTCAGACCAGGAGGTGGCTCTTGTACCTTTTGTTTATTTGTTTTATTTTTTAATGCTTATTTATTTATTTGTTATTTTTGGGGACAGACAGAAAGAGCACGAGCAGGGGAACGGCAGAGAGAGAGAAAGTATTATAGAATCGGAAGCAGGCTCCAGGCTCCGAGCTGTCAGCACAGAGCCCAACGCGGGGCTCGAACCCACGAACCGTGAGATCATGCCCTGAGCCGAAGTCGGAGGCTTAAGCGATGGAGCCAGCCAGGCGCTTGTCTCTTGCACGTTTTATAAAAGGGGTTACACGTGGCAGGCATGATGTCTGATGTCATTCAGACTGTATGCGGGTAAGAAATAAAGAGCTAAGAGGTGAGCGGTCCTGCCTGCTAAAATTTCTCAATTTCTTAAAATTGATCCACAAACAAGATCGTTACAGACTCAGGAATGAATGTTGGTCATGTCTTTTTAGAGACGGCGTATCAGCAAACCGAGTTTCGATGAGATAGTCTCATTTCCAGATTTTTTGTGTGGGCAACCCTGGCCAGATGGCCCATCACACGCTGAGGTGTATCTATCCGTCAGATCTTAAAAATACACGATTATTATTATTATTATTATTATTATTTTACTGCATTTAATATCCCAATGTCATCCCAACGCCCAAGCACTGGCCTCAAACCTTCTGGAAATTGCCGTGTTGTCTGGGGACACCTGCTCACGCTGGCACCATCAATGGAGGGTTTGTCTGTTGGAAATTACACGTCTCGATGCATCAGTGAGTTTTGAAAAGGAGAGAAAATCGACTTGATGTGTTTCAGGGCGCCGTTCTGATATTGCAGAAGATTCTTAAAAATTCTGTTTGGGGGGCGTCTGTGTGGTTCAGTCGGTTGAGCGTCTGATTTCAGCTCAGGGCATGATCTCACGGTCTGTGGGTTTGAGCCCTGCATTGGGCCGGATTCTGTGTCTCCCTCTCTCTCTGTCCCTCCACCACTCATGCTCTGTCTTTCTGTCTCTCTCTCAAAAGTAAATAAACATTAAAAAATGCATACATAAAATAACAGAAGCCAATGATCTGTTATTAGCAGTGACACAGTTTTTTCAGTTGAAAAAAAATAAGGACATTTCTCCAGGAGGCAAAGTAGGCTAGCGACTGTCGCGGCCCTGTTTTTGGTGTTCGCCATTCACTGGTCTCTTGAGTGCCGGGACTTCTGGAAGGTGGTAGGCTCCGTGTCCACTGCCCTCCCCCCCCCACCTCGGGATGCGCTGTTTGGGAAGGATACCGACCACTCTCTGAAAAAGGCAAGAGTGGGGTGCCTGGGTGGCTCAGTCGGTTAAGCGGCCGACTTCGGCTCAGGTCACGATCTCACGGTCTGTGAGTTCGAGCCCCGCATCAGGCTCTGTGCTGACAGCTCGGAGCCTGGAGCCTGTTTCAGATTCTGTGTCTCCCTCTCTGTGACCTTCCCCCATTCATGCTCTGTCTCTCTCTGTCTCAAAAATAAAATAAACGTTAAAAAAAAAAATTGAAAAAGGCAAGAGCTTGCGG